TTACCAGCGTGTTTGAGTTGAGGCTCGGAGGTTGAAAAAAGTATTTTGACAGACTAACTTTTGCCTCATGTTTACCTGCGCCTCCCCCTGCAGGCTGCCAGGTGAATTACACTGATAATCAAAATAATCAGCCGGTGAGAGAATAAAGACGAGAACCAGAGCTCACATTGCTTAACTTAAGGCGCACTCACACTCAGCAAAGTTACTCCCATGTTGAAGCACGATTTCCCCCCCCCCCCCATTCCCCCGCTGGCCTGCGCCCATGCTACACTCCGGGATGTTCACTCCACGCTGTGGACCCGTGCACGAACGTACCGTGCTGAGGCACCTCTTCACGCCGGGCCAGGACAGGAAGTGAGCACTCATGGTGGTCAAAGGAAGTGGACTTCAGTACGGGTCACAAAGTGCGCCCTGAGATAACAGATGATATCATTTTAAAACACAAAGTGTTGAAGGAGTGTTGAAGGAAATGATTTTCATCTATTTAATAAAAAACTTCTTTAAAGAGAACCTGTGGGTTTGTCTGACTTCTAAAACAGATTTCTCATCTCCCTGTGGTCCGAGAGGGGGGGGGGAGGTCTGCAGGGACCAGCAGGGACCAGCAGGGACCAGCAGCTCCATCTACCGAGCACACGACTGAAAATCAAGACGTGACTAACAGAGTTGTTTTTGTGTCTCAGCCTCTGAAGGCCTCGTCCTACGCGGGACCAGAGGGCTGCAGAGGGAAGCAAGTTTCAAACAGTTTATAGATTACACTCTGTCTCACTTCCTGTCCTGCTCGCTCTGCTCCATCAGGTACAAGTAGAAGTGTTGTGCATCTGCTGCAGAGGAGTCCAGACTGATGGAGCAGAGACCCAGAGGAGTCCAGACTGACGGAGCAGAGACCCAGAGGAGTCCAGACTGACGGAGCAGAGACCCAGAGGAGTCCAGACTGACGGAGCAGAGACCCAGAGGAGTCTGGGGAAGCACACTGAATAATAAAGTCATAATCAGCCCTGCAGAGACAGACTGTACATTCATCTGGTGGATTTAGGGGGTCAGTGTAGGATTCAGGGTTCGTGGGGTCATTTCCACCGCAGGTCGATCTTGTTTCCACGCCCCTTCTGACAGATGAAGTGATGTCAGCACCATCAGCAGGAGAGATATCGTCTTAATAATTGTAATAAATATATTTATGAATAATTGGAAGGGTGTGGTTGAGGTTCTGGTTCAGGCTGCAGGTTGGATCAGCTGACTGCAGGTTGGATCAGCTGACTGCAGGTTGGATCAGCTGACTGCAGGTGTTATTACCCTCCATGTTTCAATGTTACCACCTCTCATGTTTTATCTGCTTCTTCTTTAACACTGTGGACTTTTCTCCTCGGCCGGCCTGCAGACTTTCTGTCACACAGCTCACTGATCCACTTAATGATGTTTCACTCTATTCATCAAAATGTCAAGTTCTCTGAGGCACAGCTTCCTTCCTGAATTGCAGGAAAATGTGATGCAAATGCATCTGTGATTTGATAACCAGCTGTGACGGATGAAGTAGAACTGTCTTAATCATCAGAGCCTCTCACACTTCTCATTTCTTCTCTCCAGGTCGACAAGATTGATTTTCTCCACCCTCACGCTCCAAGTTCAATTTGAGAGAAAAACAATAGGTTCTGTGTTCAGAGCGACTCGCTCATCCTCCCTGAGCTGTGGATTATTTATCAGCTGTGCTCCACTCACTCATACTCCAGTAGATCATAAATATATTCTTGTGGTGACATCAAACCGTCTGAGGATGGAGACAGAAGTGCAGAGCTTCCCCTTCACTCATTTCTTTGACTTGTTCTACTGAATTGTACTCAAGCAAAGTTTTCTGTTTCTCCAGGAGCAGCTTTAAGGACAACTTCTATGATTCTTCTCACTCCTGATCCTCTAAACACTCTGCTTGTCACTAATGGTTCAGTAATGACTCGATGATTAATTATCTCTGAGAAAATCTGCCGTTTGATTCAGAGTTTCACTTTGTCAGAGTCGTTTGTAATCATGAGCAAAGCTTCCTCTGAAAGCATCATCACATCTCACAGCTGCGTTCTGCAAATGTTTGCAAAAAGTGACATCCATAACCTCACCTAGCTGGGACGCCGCTGCATCAGCGAGGAAACGAGGGAGGGAGGCGGGGCGAGGTTTCAGTCTGAAGTGTTGCCCCATTAGGACGTCTAATAATATCCCTCATCCTGAGAATCAGAGACGCTGCTGTCATGAATAAATAATAAAGATATGATGGTGACATTTGAAACATCAGCATCACAGATCAGTATATGTGTGTCAGTGTGTGTGTGTGTATCTGTGTGTGTGTTTCTTTGAGTTTATGTTCCAACATGTCACTGATGAAGAGAAAGAGACGGAGGTTGTGAAGCTGAAGTTTTATTCTCTGATACTTTCTGTGAAGTTTCAGTTAAAAACAATCTTTAAACTTTCAAAACGTTTCAAAGATCCCTGAACAATAACGGAGAGCAGTCTGAACCCCCCGAACAAACAGACGAGTGGTGAGTGCACCCCCTGCTGACTGATTCAGTGACAGCCACAGGGGTCACCACAGACCCCCCTCCGGTCCCAGAGGAGCTGCAGCTCCTCAGCCGAGTGCTGGGGGGACGACAACATGTCCAAATAACACTCCTTCTCACAGAGCCAGGCTGAGTCCTGGGGGGGGAGGGAGAGAGATATAAAGGAGACGTCTGATTGGTCACGTTATAAAGGTCACGTTGGTGATTGGTTGTTTTGTTTTTTTACCTGATATTTCTGCGGTCCGACGGCGGCCATCCAGATCCCCATGCTGACGTCTTCTCCCTGTGAGACACATCGAGACGTTAGCTTCCTGTCAGCCTGCGTGGTCACCGCCCCTCCTCTCAGGTACTCTACCTGGTACGCCTTCAGCTGATCTGCGTTGCTGGCGAGCCACTCGACCAGGTCTCGAGAGACCACGTAGCCGGAGCCGCACGCGAACGCCGGGTACGCCGGACTCGGGTACTCCAGCTCCTGCCACTTCCCAATGCGGTCCACGGCCCAGCTCTGCCTGAAACTGGATCATACATCCTCATCATCATCCTGACCCGCTGTGAGGCGAGCGCCCCACAGAACGCCGGGGTTATCTAGAGTTCAGCTGCGGAGCGCCGAAGTCTCTCCACAGACACATTTAACCCTCACCACCCGTGACACGCCTCCTCTAACTCCTCAGCGAATCAGAACATTCAGAATAAGAGTCCAAACTTTCACCAATAAGCTGAACCAGAAACCAACATGCTAACGCTAACACGTAAGCTTAGAGCTCGTCATCGATCAGGACTCTCTCTCCATTCGGCAAGGACGTGAGGCTCCTCCTCCTTATCGTCAGGCTGTAGGACGACCTGAGCATTATGGCGTTCAGTGTTTATGAACGCCATGAGCGGAGCGTTACATCCTGAACGTTCTCTTATTTTCAAACCTTCAGAAGTCGTCTGTACTCACTTCCCCCACCAGAAGTTTCTGCGTCTGAGACGTTTGTGGTCGATCTTCATCAACACCGAGTCCACGTCGATGTAACAATCATCGTCCGTCTTCAGCAGCAGGTTAAAGTCGGCGTTTCCCACAGACCTGCGAGAGAAGACAACGCCATTAACATCAAACTGTAAACACATGAGGTCATTATGAGCGCCATCAGCACGCGGCGTACCATTTATAGAACTGCAGCAGTTTGGTAGGAACGTTCCTGTAGGTGTCGACCACGTCTACAAACACCATGTCACCGTGCCGCTCGCTCTCCTCCTGCAGGGCGGCGTCCTCCCGCCTCAGCATGGAGGCGTGTCGCTCCATCCGGCCCGGGCGACCTCGCAGGAGCGCTGACAACCCGTCTTCATCTGACACCGAGCGACACACGGAGGGAAAGACACGTTCAGTTTGAATCCACCAGATTATTACTCGACTCGTCATTACTCTGACCACGACTCGTCAATACTTTCACAACGACTCGTCTTTATTCACACGACGACTCGTCATTAATCACACGATGACTCGTCATTACTCTAACCACGACTCGTCATTACTCTAACCACGACTCGTCATTATTCACACAACGACTCGTCATTATTCACACGACGACTCGTCATTACTCTAACCACGACTCGTCATTACTCTAACCACGACTCGTCATTATTCACACGACGACTCGTCATTATTCACACGACGACTCGTCATTACTCTAACCACGACTCGTCTTTATTCACACGACGACTCGTCTTTATTCACACGACGACTCGTCATTATTCTCACGACGACTCGTCATTACTCTAACTACGACTCGTCTTTATTCACACGACGACTCGTCATTATTCTCACGACGACTCGTCATTACTCTAACTACGACTCGTCTTTATTCACACGACGACTCGTCATTATTCTCACGACGACTCGTCATTACTCTAACCACGACTCGTCTTTATTCACACGACGACTCGTCTTTATTCACACGCCGACTCGTCATTACTCTAAACACGACTCGTCATTACTCTGACCACGACTCGTCATTACTCTGACCACGACTCGTCATTACTCTGACCACGACTCGTCATTACTCTCACAACGACTCGTCTTTATTAAAACAACGACTCGTCATTATTCACACGACGACTCGTCTTTATTCAAACGACGACTCGTCTTTATTCACACGACGACTCGTCTTTATTCAAACGACGACTCGTCATTATTCACACGACGACTCGTCTTTATTCACACGACGACTCGTCTTTATTCACACGACGACTCGTCATTACTCTCACGACGACTCGTCATTACTCTAAACACGACTCGTCATTACTCTGACCACGACTCGTCATTACTCTGACCACGACTCGTCATTACTCTCACAACGACTCGTCTTTATTCAAACAACGACTCGTCTTTATTCACACGGCGACTCGTCTTTATTCACACGACGACTCGTCTTTATTCAAACGACGACTCGTCATTATTCACACGACGACTCGTCATTATTCACACGACGACTCGTCTTTATTCACACGACGACTCGTCTTTATTCAAACGACGACTCGTCATTATTCACACGACGACTCGTCATTATTCACACGACGACTCGTCTTTATTCAAACGACGACTCGTCATTATTCACACGACGACTCGTCATTATTCACACGACGACTCGTCTTTATTCACACGACGACTCGTCTTTATTCAAACGACGACTCGTCATTATTCACACGACGACTCGTCATTATTCACACGACGACTCGTCTTTATTCAAACGACGACTCGTCATTATTCACACGACGACTCGTCATTATTCACACGACGACTCGTCATTACTCTCACGACGACTCGTCATTACTCTAACCACGACTCGTCATTACTCTCACCACGACTCGTCAATACTCTGACCACGACTCGTCAATACTCTCACAACGACTCGTCAATACTCTGATGACGACTCGTCATTATTCACACGACGACTCGTCATTACTCTGACGACGACTCGTCATTACTCTAACCACGACTCGTCATTATTCACACGACGACTCGTCATTATTCACACGACGACTCGTCATTACTCTAACCACGACTCGTCTTTATTCACACGACGACTCGTCTTTATTCACACGACGACTCGTCATTATTCTCACGACGACTCGTCATTACTCTAACCACGACTCGTCTTTATTCACACGACGACTCGTCATTATTCTCACGACGACTCGTCATTACTCTAACCACGACTCGTCTTTATTCACACGACGACTCGTCTTTATTCACACGCCGACTCGTCTTTATTCACACGCCGACTCGTCATTACTCTAAACACGACTCGTCATTACTCTGACCACGACTCGTCATTACTCTCACAACGACTCGTCTTTATTAAAACAACGACTCGTCATTATTCACACGACGACTCGTCTTTATTCAAACAACGACTCGTCTTTATTCACACGGCGACTCGTCTTTATTCACACGACGACTCGTCTTTATTCAAACGACGACTCGTCATTATTCACACGACGACTCGTCTTTATTCACACGACGACTCGTCATTACTCTCACGACGACTCGTCATTACTCTAAACACGACTCGTCATTACTCTGACCACGACTCGTCATTACTCTGACCACGACTCGTCATTACTCTCACAACGACTCGTCTTTATTCAAACAACGACTCGTCTTTATTCACACGGCGACTCGTCTTTATTCACACGACGACTCGTCTTTATTCAAACGACGACTCGTCATTATTCACACGACGACTCGTCATTATTCACACGACGACTCGTCTTTATTCACACGACGACTCGTCTTTATTCAAACGACGACTCGTCATTATTCAAACGACGACTCGTCATTATTCACACGACGACTCGTCATTATTCACACGACGACTCGTCATTACTCTCACGACGACTCGTCATTACTCTAACCACGACTCGTCATTACTCTCACCACGACTCGTCAATACTCTGACCACGACTCGTCAATACTCTCACAACGACTCGTCAATACTCTGATGACGACTCGTCATTATTCACACGACGACTCGTCATTACTCTGACGACGACTCGTCATTATTCACACGACGACTCGTCATTACTCTGACCACGACTCGTCATTACTCTCACGACGCCTCGTCATTACTCTGACGACGACTCGTCATTACTCTCACGACGACTCGTGATTACTCTCACGACGACTCGTGATTACTCTCACGACTCTGATGACGACTCGTCATTACTCTCACGACTCTGATGACGACTCGTCATTACTCTCACAACGACTCGTCATTACTCTCACAACGACTCGTCATTACTCTAACCACGACTCGTCATTACTCTATCAACGACTCGTCATTACTCTAACCACGACTCGTCATTATTCACACGACGACTCGTCATTATTCACACGACGACTCGTCATTACTCTAACGACGACTCGTCATTACTCTAACCATGACTCGTCTTTATTCACAGGACGACTCGTCATCACTCTCACGACGACTCGTCATCACTCTAACCACGACTCGTCATTACTCTATCAACGACTCGTCATTACTCTAACCACGACTCGTCATTATTCACACGACGACTCGTCATTATTCACACGACGACTCGTCATTATTCACACGACGACTCGTCATTATTCACACGACGACTCGTCATTACTCTAACCACGACTCGTCATTACTCTAACCACGACTCGTCATTACTCTCACGACGACTCGTCAATACTCTAACAACGACTCGTCATTATTCACACGACGACTCGTCATTACTCTCACGACGACTCGTCATTACTCTAACCACGACTCGTCTTTATTCACAGGACGACTCGTCATCACTCTCACGACGACTCGTCATCACTCTCACGCCGACTCGTCATTACTCTAACCACGACTCGTCTTTATTCACACGACGACTCGTCATTACTCTAACGACGACTCGTCATCACTCTGACGATGACTCGTCATTATTCACACGGAGAGGAGACGCC